ATTTTATATCTTTGGGATTTGCTCATCGATATTGGACTGAGGATGATCATCATGATAAATTGACAAAGTATCTTGAAAAATATCCTGAATATTTTCAATATGAAGCATTTGCAATGGATGGTTATGAGACTAACAACAAACCTTTGGAACCGCCATTGGTAACAAATATGCCGATTTATTATACAACTGCTATTCGAAGATCATTGCCAATACTTGATATAGTAATTGGCAGATTGATTGAATTCGGACAGCAAGAAATGCTTGCTAACCTACTTGATGAATATGGACAACTTTACAGATATCATCAGACACCTCTTGCTTTTGTAAGGGATCTTTTACATTACTATTATTCTGCTCCAGCATTGAGAGATCAAGCTATTTCTACAAGATTAATAAAGTTACTTGGTAAGAATGCATTATCAAAAATTTCCATACACATTTTGCGATTATCCGGTGGGTAAGTCCGGAACGTAGAGAAGCTTTTGGTTTGCCTCTGCAAATTCTCATCTATAATTAGTTGGTTCATTATATTTCATGAACTTTGTAATATGGAGGGAGGTCAATAGAAACCAACAAATTTTTATAATAAATTTTTTTTGAAACTTTAACCTCAAATAACTCAACAAATTATTCAAATTAATTATTTGGAACTCTTTTTAATGTTACAACCCTGTAGAATTAAAGAGTTCTAAATAATTAAATTTGAATAAGTTGTTAATTTATTCAGGTTTAAAAAAAATTCAATATAAACCACTTTCTTGGTTTTGTTGATCCCCCGTATGACTAAAATTTCAATGACCTGATATTTAGATAATCTCGTATATATATATATTTTTTTTGATCAAAAATATAGACTTCGATGAATATGATATTGACTCTCAGTTGTTGCAATACGGATCTAATGACTTTTTGGCGGAACTTTTTGACATTACTTACTTTGAAAAAGTTTTCCGCAAATTAGCTGAATGTAAGACACAATCATTTATTTATTATAATATTGTAACTTACTATATTAATCATTAATCTATATTCTCAAATATGATAGTAATGTCTCCAGATTCATGTGCTCCTAAGACTGATGCCAAATTTCCAGAACGTCACTATCGGGAGATTCCAAATCCCGTAGTACAAGCCTTGCACATAGCTTGTATAGAAGTGCTTGCAACGCCAACACCACCTAATGATATAGTGAAAGAAACGTTTGACATTATAACTTCTATGAATGAGCGTAAAAATACATCCGTCCAGCCTATGGTCATGCATGCTATAGGCCTATTATATTCTTTCTTGCCTGAGGAATTCGTATACCAAATGTTTGATAAGATGGTGTTAATTATCACCACAGATTTTCATTTAAAGGAATTCTCACAACCCTTTAATTTGGTAATCACATTTTAATTTTTTGTTTAGTCATTGATATTAATGCTTACATTTAATTTTTTGAAACCAGATTCAACGTGAGAATTCTCAACCATCATTGTCATATTTACTATATCAATCTGCAGATCCGTTACAGCAATGGCCATTTTCACCTTCGACGCAAGCTTTTTCAGCAACTTTTCCCTATATTTTCAATGAATATGAGTCTAATCTTCATAATTTTGGCACAAATGTTGCTAATAGTTTCCTCACATTTATGCATAGCTTATTACATTACTCTAATATTGATGATATACAAATACTTCTTCACAAAATTCTAACTATTGATGATGGTATTATTAATTCAGATATACAGCTACTATATTTGTGTGCTTTAGTTGGTCCTGTAATACATAGATTGATGGAAAGTCGTTTACTGGTTTTAACAAATGTAAATTGAATATTTCATCTATAAATTCTTTTCTTTCATTTCGGAAAAGTTATTTAATGCCGCTTCTTTTTTTATAAACAGTACATATTTCACATCATTAAGATATTGAATGATGTGACCTCAAATATGAGAATAGAGAACTGCGGAGACACAACACTTGCTTTAGAGCAAATATATGATTTCTTGTATCCTTTAAAACTTTTTTAACATTTTATATACGGTCTTACCTCGTTAATATAATTCATCCCATTACCAGCATAACTCCCACCCAGTGTTGGAAATCTAATTCTTTCAACGTTCTTGAGAACATTAAAATATTTTTGAGAAAATAATATGTTCTCATTTTGAGAATATAAAATTTTTTAGTTTTTAATATAGTTTATAGTATTTTGAGAACATAAAAATTTTTTTGAATATAGTAAAATTTTATTAATAAGAACATAAATTTAAAATTTTATGTTCTCAAAAAATAAGATTTTTTTCAGATTTCCATCACTGCTCCTACCCCATTTTTATAATCCCACATTATCTGTTAATGAAGTTGATATTAATGAGGTGACCGTACACCTATCTATATAACACTCATATTCGTCTCTAACTATGTTTTGATCGATCTAGGTATTTTGTAAAACCTATTATATCAAACGACCCAAACACATATGCAAGTGTGCAACACTTAATAAAGTTGATGAAGACACCTGTTCAAAGTCGATTATTTGGGTATCTTGTATGATTTTATGGTAAGTTGTTTTAATATTAAAACAAGGAATTTAGGGTAAGCATTAGGCGCGCAGATTACTTGAGTGAATATTTATGGGGTATATTAATTATTCTTCAAAGTCCTATAGTATCTACTTATTACAACTTTATGATCATTTGCATCGAATCTACTTTAATATTTATAATATAGTTCGCATTTTTTTTTTATGACCTATCTTTATCAATACATGGTCCGATGTGAATACAATAGAATATTTCGTAGATTTGGTTAACCACCGAATTTCTGATAATCATCCTATCTACAGGTGATTCATTATCACTTATCCAGGTCTAATCTCCTTATTTAGCAATGTTACTACTTGTAAGGTTGGCAATTTTTGTTATGTATTGAGGTTCACTCAGACTTTTATTGGTTAATTTTTTGAAAAAAAAAAAAAAGTATTGCAATCTAATTGGTAGAATAACGTGACTGTCTTATGTAAATCATCGTTATACAGTAAACAGTAATAACCTAGGATGATTTTTTGTGGTGATAAGTAATAAATTCCGTGCTTTATTTCCTGTAATCTCTACGTTGTTTATGTCGAACCTCTCAAGTTTCTGCATTCCAATTACAAATGAACTGTTCGTAAAATTTCGTATTCTAGGTTCTTACATTATAAGTTATCTACGTCGGAACGTTTCTAAATAAGAATTTACACATAAAAATGATACGTAACTTATTAGTATCAGATCATAACACGATAAATCCTACTTTCCGCGACACTACGTGATAACTGCCATTTTCTGTATTTGCTCCCGTAATTCTGCGGCATTCCGTGAGGTGCAGAAAATCATTGTCCCCGTAATAACCTTTTAACCTTTAAATTTTATTATAAAAATGCATAACTGTAAAAAGATTAGTTGTTACTGTTAATAATACAGTGTTAACGTTGATTTCATTGTTGATTGGGTCTCAAAAGCATGCATATTAAAGTTTACTGCAAGATATGAAAGTTCAATACTGCAATAACGGCATTATCCAGTATCCTACAATGATAGGACTTAACGAGTTAATTTTGTGATATATGCTGATATTGACAGGATTACATTATAATAAATGATTTTTTAATTAAATATCCTAGAGGTTATCTGAACGTTCAAATAATCGAATTTTACTAATTATTTGGATAAAATTTTTTAGTTGTGAATATATACAATGATTGAGCAAATTCGTTTCATTTACAATTGATTCGCGTCATCATGTCTTTAACAAATTATAAAAAAGAAAAAAAAAAAAGAGTGACGAAAAAAATGTTATCGTCGCCAACAACCCCAATTGCTCCTACTACATCTTCAACTATTTCAAATGTTTCTGCAACATCTTCAACCACTCCAAATGCTTCTGTTGCTCAAAATGTTTCTAATGCTTCTGTTATGCCTGTTACACCTTTTACAAACTTACTAATTTACATATAATGTTGCAACAATATTCTGCTGCACAATAGTATTCTGCCGCACAACAATATTCTGCTACATAACAAAATTTCACAATTCTTTAACTCCATAGCATTAAACAAAGCTACATTTCTTATTTGCTATAAATGCTTCCAGTATCAAAATAATCCGTTGGTGTTGGCAGCGATCCATGTTTCTTATTTATGTTGAGCGTTCTTAGATAAAGCGAAAGCGAAAGAATAAATATTCATATAATATAAATTACTGGCAATGTATATTTTTATACGTATACAGTAGCTTGTTAAAAAACTTATTAAAATAATACTATTATATTAATTTATATATTTACATGACGTAACAATGTAAAGTGCTTGAACGATCTCTTTTTTACTAATAAAACTCAGCTCTTTGAAAAAAAAAGATGGTCATAGACCATTTTTTTTTTTTCACTGAAATAACTCACTTGATTATTCTCCGCTAATTAAATTTTTTTATCCCGACCAATTGATTAATGCGCTTGAGAGCACCCTTAGGATTGAGGTTTAGCGTGAAATATATATAATATGCATTTATGTAAATGCAATATAAAACTTTTTAAGTCTAAATAAGCAACCATAAAACAGTAATCAGTGTTGTTTAGTTTGTTTGTTGAGCTTTTTTTTAGTTTAAAAAAATTGTTACAAGTATTAAGTATATAGAAATCACTTTTAATAATAACAAAGGTATTGTACTTTAAATGGTGCTATGGTCGTTTGATTTGAAAATTCGTTTAACGTTCTCCTCCCGTAGCTCTCATAAATTAAACAAGCCAATCACAACATTCAAATTATTTCATGTGTTTATATTCTACAGTTTAATTAATGTTTGTTTAAAATTCCCCCTCCCCCTCGAACCTGAATTCAAAAAAGGAACGTTAAACGAATCTCAAACGGCCTATATAATATCTTTTAACCAGAGATAAACAAATATGAACGTATAAAACCTCAAGTTTATTGTTTTTTCAAGTATATTTCTAGACGGTTTTTCTGGTATTCTGCACTGAACTCCCAATAATTAATATCTGGTGGTTTATCAACAAATATGATTTGGTCAATTTCTTCTAATATCCTATAATTATAAGCAACAATAAATATATTACTGGATAATATAGTCCAATTATATAATTATAATGCCCTGACCCAGGGACGATAATTTTCTGCGGTGACAATTCGAAATTTCCCTATAAGTTATTTTCTGAGTTTGACTGAATGCGGTTTTCTGTGAAACTCAGTCCCCTAATTTTAATCAGGTTGAATTTAAAATATCCGTGTAATTAAAAATCAATAGATAATTACTTGCAAAAAAGATTAAAGTCTAAGTCATTCGGGTCAGTTCCATAGGACACTCGATTTCTGCACCAATTCTTTCGACACCAACAAAATAAAAGTAGCCAAGAACACAATACCAATAGTCGACCAACCGACGGATTCAACCAATTGGAAAGGTAAGCTGAGACAATAAATCCATACAGTTTGTAATAAATGAATATGATATGCTAAAGGAATCGGTGTACTCGTAATCCTTTCAAGAGACGACAAGCAATCTATCAAAACATCAACATTATTTAACAAATAATTGGCTAATGGAACATTAATTCTTTCGCACCGCATTTGAGTTAAAATATAATCAGAAATATATAAAGAAATTTCTAAAGGAAGATTGATATGTTCACTTTGATGATGTGTCTTTTTTTTTATTACGAATTTTAAATAAACTTAAAATTTTGGATACATTCCTCATTCAGATGTTTGAATCCAGGTAAATCTGATTTTATGTTCGAAATGAAAGGTTTAACTTCATTTTTGAAAGTTACTCCTTCCTCTTCACGTATATAATTTTTTACAGCATAT